GGACACGAAGGGCTCATTCTCGGCCCAAACCCCACGGCCCGGCTGCGTGCGTGCGAGTGTCCCCCACCCCGCCCAGGGACCTGAAAAATTCGGCTGTTCCTCCAGTCCCGGCGCCTCAAACTTCCCGCAAATGAGCTTGCTTTCCACGGACTGCAACAGCTGCTCCCCTTGTCTCTTGCTCCCGCCCAAGGACCCGATCGGCTCTGGAGATAACCTGCCCCAAAGAGGGACCCTTCGCAATCACAACCCCCAGGACGTGGCGGGGGTCTTGGAGCCCGACTCTCACATTCCACTGCTTTTGAGTTGGCTCGACCAACGCTTGTTTTCAGCCACCGTTGCGCTCTGATGCTAGAAGGGCAGCCCAGCGGGCTGCTGCCTCCGACGCTCCCTGCGATCCCAAGCGGCCCTGGGCGGCACTGGAACTCGCCACCACGGACGTTGTGGGCAGAGGTCGACCCCAGACCCGCAAGCCCCGGAGTTCCAGGTCATGTGCCGGCCTTGGCCAGTGTCAACTGAGCCCTGGGAGTTTTGCAGCGAGTCAGCAGCTGGAACAGTATCAAAAACCGGATTCTGTAATCCTAGCACTCTGGGAGGCTGAGGCAGGAGGACTGCAAGTTCCAGGCCAGCCTGGGTAATTTAGCGATTTAGCAAGACCATATTTCAAAATAGATCTGGGAAGTTAGCTCAGTGTGTGGCCTCTGTTGCTCAGTTCCAACTCGGGTGAGTTAGGGCGGGAGAAGGGTCCCAGCACCAAGGGTGAAATTTCAGGAGAGCCATGAGCTAACCAAAAGGACCGGAGCCTAGGGGCACAGTTTCCAGAGAGGGAACTAGAAATCAGAGATGCAGACAATCCTAAAAGAGGGCGACTACATCGTGGAAATGGAGGTCTTTTTAAACAGATCACCACGGTGGGGGTCATTTAGAATAGTAAGAAAGCACAGTGTGCTTATTGAGGAAACTTGGCGAGCTAGGGAAAATAAGGGACACCCATGAGTCACCCCCACCCCAAACCCAAGAAACTGCTGAAAACATTTCAGCAACCTCAGGCAGGCACTATAATATACTAACTAAGAAGCACATGGATGAGAGAGCTGGCCCGCCAGACATCAAATCCCCAGTCTCTGGACAGTTTGGTGTATTGGTTTGTAACGGTTCAGGGGGACCAACAGAGGTACTCGCCCCTTCAATAAGCGTGAATGAGTACATTGTCAGTCTGTATTTTTGTCTTTGCATTTTATTGGCATAATTTTTCTCCTCCCAGCATCTTTTAAAATAATTCTTTTTCCCACAGTATTTTAAAATCTCGATAGAACCATTTTAAATGGCTGCATATTATTCCACTGGGTGGCCCTCCCATAATTTAAAATCCATTTCCTATTGTTGGACACGTGGCTCCAATTTTTCTCCAGTATTTGTTATCCTATGGTGAACTTTTTGTTATGATAAACTTTGAAGTTAAAGAACCATAACTCTTTCTAGTACATCATTTCTTTAAGATATCACCTCAGGAGAGTCCAAAGTGTTATTTATGCACATAGAATGAACAGTCATTTCTATAAAATATTCAACTAAATTCAAGAACAGTGCATTAACTTCTCGCAACTGTGCAAGAGGAGGTATTGCACTTTCTGCCCAAACCAGCACTGGATATTTTCATTTAAAATTTTTTATAACTTCACAGATAAGCAATTCTTTATTATTAACATTATTATTTATTATTAATTATTATTTATAATTACAATTATTTATTAACAATTATATATTATTATTGTTTTTATTATTAAAACATTCATCAATCTTTGTATTCCCTCAATTTGGTACAGTTCATTCACATACTTGTCCATCTAATTATTCTTAATGCTGTTTGTCATTTGATTGTTTTTAATAAGAGGAGTATATTAATTTTGCTTCATATATATGACAAATATTTTTATCCATTTACCACTGGGGAAAAAATGATAGTGATGCTGTCTTTTAAAAAGTAAAAGATGTTCCCACGTATTGTATAAAGAGTTATCACAGCATATTCATACTCACACAACCTAAACAGCGGGCAGTTACACATTAGACTCCAGAGTTTGTGCCTTCGAGACGTTGCTAAGGAAAGTTTATTCACACAGATTTTCTTTTTCACATTGCAATGTATTTCAATGCGCTAGTTAGTAAGCATTACCCTCCATTTCTATTTGTCCCGGTATTTTTAAAAATTTGATCCTGGAATTTATTTTGGCATGTGTAATGTGGTGAGAATTTAATTTACTATTTTATTCATTACTCCAGCACCACTGACTGAGAAATTTGTCTGTTTTTCCCTTGATGTATAATAGCAACTTTGTCATAAACATTTAAGTATTTTATAATAATATCTGTTTCTAAACTACGTATTCTCTGGTTATAGTCTCATGACATTTATAGCTAAATGGATGCATACTGAGGCACTACTCTCAAATGAAATAAATAGGACATGTGTGTAAATAACAAATAGTTTCTCTGGTGTGAGAAACTGAAAGTGTAAATAAGGATCAAAATGTATAATAGATAATGTGAAATAAGGAGACAAGATCCAAAGGAGAAGGGGAAGGGGAAGAGGTAGGGGAAAGGGAAAAATAGAAGAAAAGGAACAAAAAACAAACAGAAACAGAGTCTTGTAAATAGGGAGGGGTGGAGGGGTTGAAGGGAGGGCAGGGGAATGAGGAAAAAAAAAAAGAAGAACCAAGATACTTCATGTAAAGGTAAAAATTCCCAATGATGAATGTTATTATATTATATGCCTAAAATGTACCCTAGTCTCTCTTTTAATATTTAGATCTTTGATCCACTTTGATTTTACTTTAGTGCATGGTGAAAGATGTGGGTCTAGTTTTCCTCTTTGGCAGGTTGAAATCCAGCTTTTCTAGCACCATTTATTAAAGAGGCTATCTTTCCTCCAGTGAGGATGGTTGGCTCCTTTGTCAAAGATAAGGTGGCTAAGAGTGTCTGGAGTAGTTTCTGCATCTTCTAATCTATTCTGCTGATCCTTGGTCTGTTTCTTTGCCAGTACCTTGCTGTTTTATAACAGTAGCTTTGTAGTATAGTTTCAATCTGGGGATTGTGATACCCCTGCTACGTCTTTGTTGCCTAGAATTGCTTTTGCTATTCTAGATACCTTCTGGTTCCAAATAAGATATCCTCACTTGTGACAGAAACAAAATAAAATTAGGTTTACATTTTATAAAATAAAAAAAATCTATTGTATGTGTAAAAGTTTTTGATATGACAATAACCTTTGCCCCCTCAAAAAACACACAATGTTTTCATCTCCCCAGTAAGTTTACTTGTAACTCTCACTAGCCAATCTAAACAATGCCCACCTAGAGTAACTCCTGAGCTTACATCTCTACTAGAAATGAGTTTATGCATGTCATGTAAATAGTCATACAGTATAGACTATTTTGTGTCTGGCTTTTCTAGTTAAGCATAGCATTTGTTTTTTAGGTTCACTCATGTTACCTAGAACAGTACTTTTTTTCAGTTTCTCACTACGAAGAATTTCAGTATAGGAGAATGACACAATTTTTATCCGTTCACCT